ACCGTAGGCAGAGAGGGAGAAGAGGACAACAAACGAGGGGCTGTGACAAACTGTTTCGTCGGAGTTTCACCGACTCATCAGGAGGCTGAACCCCTATATCACCCACACACACACACACACACACACACACACACACACACACGCACACACACGCGCACAAAAAAAAAGGTGCCCCGGTAGCACCCCTCACAGGGCCAGGGGAACAGCCGCCACTGCCAGCAACGGCCAGAAGGACATACCGAAAAGATGCACAGTACCGGTAGGGGCATATTGAACATTCTTGTGCCTGTACTGAACGTCTATCCGGTAGGGGCAAACTGGAAATTTGGCACTGGTGCCGGTAGGGGCATACTGAAAATGTCTCAGCCCCGAACGACACCACGGATTTTTGAAACCTTGGATCACTGTCGAGGGGCAAATCAGGGTAAGTCGGCCGTCAGAGGGGCAAATCGCAAATAAACGCAAACTTCAGGGGCATTTCGAAAATTTCCCCTTTTTTGGTCTTTTATATAGCAAAGAAAAATCTCTCCGCATGAACAGCAGGAGCAATCGATTCCCTGTCAGGCACTTTCGTTTCAGGGCTCTCACCCTACCACTTCCCTGAATGTATCTCACCGTGATTATGGCCAGGAGTGAGTGGCACATGAGTGAAAACTAGGACAAGACGGCCTCCCTTTTATTCCATGTGCTGGCAGCAGGTCCAGCACCGGGGGCAGTACCGGTACCACCCCGAATTTTCCGGGCGCCAGTGCCCGTTAATTCCAGGCTCGGCAAAATTAAAACTGAGGCTCGTACATTTAGCCTCGGGTGTACTGTCCAAAAGAGCTGACTTCCTAGCTGCTAACGAGTTAGGCACAGCTCATGTAGGGGACCCTATCCCAGGTGAGGTCATTAAACGCCTCCAAACAATGTTCAGTTTGCAAGTGGGAAATATAGCATGGTCGAGGGAATACTGTTCCTTAGTAAAAAGGTTACTGTGTTCCGATGTGGAGACTCCAGAAAATCTATTCCTCGGCGAGTGCCATGACACAGCAGCGTGCTTTGGATTTAGGAAAGCATACGGTAAAATATTGCAAGAAATTTTGTTGGCCAGGTATGACACAGGATGCCCCACACGTATGTAGAGAAGCTGTTAGCTGTCAGGTCTGCCAATGAGATAAACCTCGTACTGAGGCACCTATGGGCTTACTCAAACCTCTTCCTCTTCCTTCCAGATTGTCGTACTTTGCTACTATCTTCCCCCGAATACAACGGACGGTCATTATCACTCTATCTAGACTGAAATCTGCCCCAAATACAGGCACAGTGACCCCACGTTCTACTCGGAGGAAGACGGTACACTCATGCCACTGCCGGAAACAGCAACAACAGATTCAGTCATATGGGCTTTGCTTGACAAGCGGGTTACATACTCGGGTTTTTCTAAAACAATAGCGAATGATACCGATGTCAAATTGACAAGTGAGCAGTGGCAATCTCTGACGAAGAACTGTGCAACCGAGCTGATCCCGAGCTCAGCGCATCACTGTGAAACGAACAGAGCTTGAACAAATGAATGGTCAAGTACAGCAATTGCTGAGCCATTTTATCACCCCACATCAAGCTGATCGGGATGAACATTCGCCTGAGGTGGCAAGTGCTCACGGCAAGTGTTCATTGCGCCACAGATAACACTCCCAACCAACTGCGCCTTGGATGGAAGGCAAGGAAACCACTTGATTTCCTGTTTCCGGACAATACAAAGGACTTGCCTTCCGCCACTCTATAGGATACACTGCAATGCGAACACATCCAGCAAGAAACTGTAGGCGATGAAGAGGGAACAAGGGGGACAAAATAGTACTCATTGCAGAAGAAGATGGAGCTACACAAAGTTGATGGAGCTGCACAAGTTGATGCTGGACAAGTTGATAGAGCTGCACAAGTTTATTATCAGTGGCTGGCGCCGAAAGAGGCACACGGTCGGCCGAAGGTGATGCACAGGCTGATAGGGGCTGTTAATGGACAGCAGAAGTGGATGACGAAACGGGATCCGCATGTGAAACCGCAAGTGGCCAGAAGAGGATGGTCGCCCAATGACCATCAGGGGAAGACGGTGGCAGGTGTGGAAAATTTTTGCATCCACCAGAGTCACCGCCTAAGCCAGTTATGTATAGGATGCCAGTGTTCATGAGACCGGACATAGCAGTTCCGGCCCTCAGTAAGAGTCGTCAGAGGCTGTTCACAAACGAGCATGTGGCGTGCACATGTTGCCGCACTTCGGAAATGAGCCAATCATTGCTGGCATTATAATCTGGTGAGTTGCCCTGTGAGCGATCCTGCTGGTTGACGGAACAGCACATCGGACTTGGCACTGGGATAGCAGACAACAGGGAAATAGAAGGCGGCCACGTTTTCAAAAATGTTCATATCAGGGACAACAAGAAAATAGCAGGCAGACAACAGGAAGCCATCAGTGCAAATCTATGGTGCGCACTGACGTAAGTACAAGAGCCATCACCACGTACTGTTGGCTTCTTTACATTCCAGGCCGTTGCAATGAGGACGTCGCTTCGTAATGCTCTGGAGGTGGTGGTAGATGAACCCATGACAGGACATGGAGGTGGTGGGAGATGAACCCATTACAGGACATCATCTATCAGACAATAGATCGATAAACAATGGATATATCTGAGCATTCTGAAGGTCAACAAAGTTGGCCTCATCCTGGTGCAGTGTCAGATTTGCCATTCCTGGACCACCATTGGTTCCCGCTGTACTACCAACAATTAATCTGATTCCATACAATGTCACATCCGCATGGAAAAGGTTAGCTGTTCAAAAACAGCCTGAGAATCGTCGTGCACCACTGGCGCAATTCGCCTGAAGGCAGATGCGGGTCTAATGATCTCTGATACTCCCAATAATGATCCCTGATGCTTCCGCAAGGACGTCAACAATTTGCTCATTTAGAAGTTAATAACGAAAGAACCTCCATGGATGAGATTTGGAACAGATAGTACGAGATAATGTCGTAATCCACGGACACGACATGCCCACCAACCAGATGGATCTGCACGGCGAAGGGAAGATTTCACGAGATTCGCAGCTCAAGGGTCATTATGTGAAAACAGGTGCTAGAGAACGCCATTTTCGTGAAGTTACCGGGCACAGAACACGGCTTAGCTGCATTTGCTTATCGCAAGGTACAAATGCACGTGACCGCCTAAGGCAGGAACAAGGGTGCAACACACAAGTACCTCACGTAATCGCAAGTTCTGCTGCAGTCTTCTTCCCTGACTGCATCGATGCATGTGTACAATTTCGGCAAGATCTTCAGAAAGAAGGGGCAAATAAATCCACGAACAGACTGGAACTTCAGGATCAATCAATCAATCAAAGCCTGGCCGACGTCACTCGTATTGCAAGTCGTTGTAAAAGCTCGCCGACATCCACACGCCGGCATTGCGAACGTTTCTATGCAGTCAATGCAGAAGGCGTGCACGTCCTGGCAGCATGACCTGCTGAATCAGCAGGGAATGTGTCCATAGGGTGGCCCAGCAGCTTGTCCGAAGACATCAGCACTCTGAAGCGACCTTCCAACTGAGGACCAAGAATGTTGGTAACAGAGGCGCATAGATACCAGCGTAGGTTCTGCCGGGGGGGGGGGGGGGGGGGGGGGGGAGAGTTTGAGATTGGGAACGCTGGGATTCAGGGTTCCTCTCGCTCGGTCGTTTTGCTCTTTACCTGTCTCTCTCTCCCTCCCCTTCGCCATCTATCCCTGCGATGGTGTTCGTTTCCGCCTTCCTCTCCTCGGCCCTTCCTGCCCATCAACCTCTCACCAGCATAAGCCCGTCCTCTCTCTCTCTCTCTCTCTCTCTCTCTCTCTCTCTCTCTCTCTCTCTCTCTCTCTCTCTCTCTCTCTCTGTGTGTGTGTGTGTGTGTG